TTCCCATATAGCCCCTGCCCCCTGCACATGCATAGCCTCCCCCATTGTCAACATCCCCACCAGCACGGTACGTTTGTCACAGTTGATGAATGCATCAGCACATCATCACCCCAAATCTATAGTTTAATGAGGCTTCATGACATACAACACTCTTGACGTACATTCTGTGGGTTTGGACAAATGTGTAATGACGTGTATCCAACATAGTATCATACGGACCATGAGGCTGTCCTAAAAGTCCTCTGCTCTCCCTATTCACCATCCTGCTCCCACCACTGACAATCACCATCTTACCTGTCTTCATACTTTTGCCTTTTCCAGAAAGTCCCACAGCTGGGAAGAACGTAGAGGCAAAATATGTTACAACTCACAGATTCAAATGAAAAGACATAGATTGAGGCCCTGAAGATGAGAGGGAACCCAAGTAGTTTGAGGTCTAGAACCGTCCTCAGGTTTCTTTCATCAGAATTAATCAGCTTCAGTAGTTTTTGGACATTGCACAGCTCTGGCTGGGGAATCTTTGGGGCATCTTAATTGACAAGACTGTGCAATGGGGGGTCAAAACTAGTCCCCTGAAGAGAAACTGAAGCACTTTTACCAGAAGAGGAGTCAATTTTGTGGAGCATTTCAACAGCATAGATGTGCTGCCTCTGCTTGCTGGACACCATGCCCTCCGCTGGCACACCGAGGCTACTCCACTGACACTGGGGTCTCTGTCAGAATCCGGGCACGCTTAGTTTATCACAACCCTGAAATGCTTGCTAGGGCCCTTAAGGTGCCATAGTTTATGTCTCTGGATAAGATGGAGAATCTCTCGCATCTCTTTGCGGTATATTCTTTCTTTGGAAGATGGTTGTTGAAAAGCTGTGCTTCTGAGGTTCCAATGTTGTGCCTCATTTTAAGACTTTCAGACCTGTCCATCTTTTTAGCCTCGTTGGGAGGAGTAATCGGTCTGCCAGCCATCCCCACACATCTGAGCACCAGCAGTGGAAACCTTCTAGGCTTAATGAGACTCCCCACTTACATTTTTTGTACATTTTTTAAAAAGATTTATTTATTTATTTATTTATTTATTTATTTATTTGAGAGAGAAAGTTGGGGGAAGTGGCAGAGGGAGAGTCTCAAGCAAATTCCACGCTGAGCACAGAGCCCAATGTGGGGCTTGATCTCATGACCCTGAGAACACAACCTGAGCCAAAACCAAGAGTTGGACCCCACCACCCAGGCGGCCCAAGACTTTATTTTTAAGTAATCTCTACACCCAATGTAGGGCTCGAACTCACAACCCCCAGATCAAGAGTCACATGCTCTTCCAACTGAGCCAGCCAGGTGCTCCTATTTTGCACATCTCATTGGTCCCACTTGAAACATATTCTTTACCCAATCATGACCTTCTTTAAGACCAAGAACCTCACAAGTCTCATTATTCCTTGTGCCCTAGTTTTGAACTATGCCCGGTGGTTTGCAGTAACTGTTCTGTGTTAACTTTCTCTGGGAGTTATATAAGACTCCCATCTTTCAGACATCTGTTACTTCAATCTTACCCACAGTTACAAATCCATCTTCTGAAGATAGTGCTTTGATAACACCACCAATCTCTAATGGCTCCCATTTTTTTATAGGAAAAAAAATTCAAACTGCTTAGCCCTGCATTTAAGACCTTCCACAATCTTCCCTACCTACATTCCAATTCTGGCTTCTCATTCATTTCTTTTGTTTTGTTTTTTCTTTTTTTTTAAGGTTTTATTTATTTATTGGAGCGAGAGAGAACATGAGCTGGAGGAGGGGCAGAAGGAGAGGGAGAGGCATACTCCCAATTGAGCAGGGAGCCCGATGCGGGGCTCGATCCTGGGACTGCTAGATCACGATCCGAGCCAAAGGCAGATGCTTAACTGACTGAACCACCTCGACACCCCCTTCCTATTCATTTCTTAGAGGATATAAGTAAAAATAATATAGGTAGAGACCTTAACAGCACCTTGTATACAGTAGACGCTTGATTAAGTAGTAGCTTGATAGTGTTTGTTTTCATTTTGTTCTTATTGTTACTATTACAAGAACTGCTTGGTCACCTGGGCTACGTGGATAAGTGAGTCTCTGCCCTTGCCAGGCTCAGCTAAGATCAGAAGAGGCTGACAGAGTCATAACTGATTACAATGAGATATGGTGACTAAGTGGTGCAGTCTGTCCTGAGTGCTTAAGGGCCACAGAACAGGAAGGCTGCAGGAAGACCTCACTGAAGAAATGGTGAATTTGCCTTGAAGCATTAGTAGAAAGGCTTGTAGTTTTCTTTGTAGAGGTTTGCACATTTCATTTAGATTTATTCTAGAAAATATTGTTGTGAGACCTTTTTTGAAACTACAGTTTCCAACTATTGATGAAAGATAAATACTGAATTTTGTAAATTGAACTCGTATTTAGCAACCTTTCTGGACACAAAGATTGTAGGTTCTTTTTTGGTTTTCGAAGTATATAATTATGTTGTTTACAAACAGTGGCAGTTTTCTTTGTAGTTCTTACATGTTCAAATTCTTTTTCTTATCCTAGTACAGTTGCTAGGTACAGTGCACAATTGTACAATTCACCATAATGCTGGACAGGAGCACTGTATGTGAGTATACTTGACCTGTTTCTGACCAAACTGGGAATTTCTTGGGATTCTTTTTTTTTTTAATTTATTTTTTAATTTTTTTTTTTTTTTATTTCTTGGGATTCTAATGTTTCAAGTTAATTATGATGTCTGCGTTGTTTGTTAGATACCTTTCATCAGGTTAAGGAAATTTCCTTCTAGCTCATCGAGAATTTTTATAATAAATGAGTTGAATTTTCTCAAATTCAGTGGAAGTGATCATACATCTTCTCTAATTTATTATTGCTAAGGATTCCAATAGGTTTTTTTTTCCCCCAATAGGTTTCTTAATTTGAAAAATTCTTGTACTCTTATTCACTTCTTCATGATGTATTTCTTAACACATTAACTCAAATCTATTTCCTTTTTCCTCTGCAAACTTCCATTCCCATTGACACCAATATAATCACTCACTTGCTTCATCCCACCCTACAAGCAAGTCTCAGAATAATAATACAAACAAAATGTATCACCATCAGTGTGATTCCTGAAAAGTTTTGATTTGGGTTTTGCGGTTCCTCTTGTCCTAAGATATATAAAATTTGTATTAGTCACTTACAGTCTAAGTGAATTGAAAAGAACAGCTGTGGAATGTTTCCAGACTCTTGCTGCATCATTAAATTAGAAAAAAAATTTTTTTAAACACAAAATTTTATTTATTTATTCATGAGAGACACACACACACACACACAGAGAGAGAGAGAGAGAGAGAGAGGCAGAGACCCAAGCAGAGGGAGAAGCAGGCTCCAGGCAGGGAGCCCGATGTGGGACTGGATCCCGGGTCTCCAGGGTCACACCCTGGGCTGCAGGTGGCGCTAAACCGCTGGGCCACCGGGGCTGCCCAGAAAAAATTTATGATCATGTGCTACATTTGAGCTATTGGATATAAGAAACTATAGGCACACATTCATTCAGAATTTCCTATTCCCCTCTCAAACTCATATTTGATGTATTGCATAATTGCGGTACCTGGGATAAATGATCCAGAATGACCTATATTTATTGACGCCGAGACTTTGAAAAGTATGATCGAAGTTTCTACTGCTATCTCCAACAGTCTTCCCCAAATCATTCAATGGAAGCCTATATACCATAAGGGTTTAACACCGTCTTTTTTCAGACTCCCCTTGGTTCCCAGGGGTGTGTCTTCCTTTTTGCGACAATAAATGATAAACGATACTTCTCAATTCCTGCTATATGCTTGGTTTTATTTATTTAAAAAAATATATTTATTCATGAGAGACCTAGAGAGAGAGAGAGGCAGAGACACAGGCAGAGGGAGAAGCAGGCTCCATGCCGAGCCCAACGTGGCACTTGATCCCGGGACCCCAGGGTCACGCCCTGGGCCGCAGACAGACATGCAACCACTGAGCCCCCCAGGCTGCCCCACATTCTTGGTCTTAAATCCTCAGACACAAAATAAAAGACAGACCAACCAACGGCCATGGATTTTATTTCGGTTCTGATTTTAAGAGAAATATGAAGACAAGAAATCTGAACACTTGGGTACTTGGTATGAAAGAATCCCTGTTTCTTTTTTAAAGGTAGGATAACGGTCTTGAAGGCAGATCCCCCCCCAAAGAGTAGTTATTATTTTTTTAATTTATTATTTTTAGAGATACACGTTTAAATACCTACAAGTGAAATAACAGGATGTCTGACACTGGCATCCCCGGGGCGGGGGGGGGGGGGAACAGGTGAGACCTGCACAACTGTGTAAAGTCAACGAGTAAGGTTAATTTTTTTAAGTCTTTTTTTTTTAAGATTTTATTTTTTTAAGATTTTATTTATTCATTCATGAGAGACACACAGAGAGAGAGAGAAAGAGAGAGAGACCCAGGCAGAGGGAGAAGCAGGCTCCATGCAGGGAGCGGACGTGGGCCTCGATCCCGCGACCCCGGGGTCACGCCCTGGGCCGGAGGCGGCGCTGAACCGCTGAGCCCCCCCCCCAGGGATCCAAGTAAGGTAATTTTTCCACTCCTCTACGTGATCGAAATTCTCCTAAAGTCTTCTTTTCTTTAAGTTCCTTCTTCTGGGAGACAGCAGTACTGCGAGATCCAAAAGAAAGCCACAGCGTGGCGCCCCAAGAGCGCAGGCTGCCCTCCCCCCTCCCCCGCCCCCCCCCCCCCCCCCCGCCCCGGGTCAAGGCTGCGGAACGGGTGCTCCTCAGTGTCGCCGGCTCAGCACCGCCCGCACGGAGGGAGACTGCAGGGGCTGCCTCCCCGCCCCTCGCGCCAGCCCGGGCTCCGCGCCCATCCAAGATGGTGGGTCGGGGCCGCGAGCGAGCCAGTGAGCAAGTGAGCCAGCGAGCGCCGGCCTGCGCAGGCGCATCCCGCGCTCCCCTCCCCGACCTGGGCGGGTCGCGCCTGCGCGCTGGGGGGGGGGGGGCGGCTCGCGGCTCCGGCTCGGCCTCGCGCTGGCTGCGGCGAGTCTCGGTCCTGAGGGCGGCCGACGCGGCTGGCTCGGTGACGATGAGGTTTCTGCTCGTTCTCCTGGTGGCGGCGTCGGCGGTGGTCCGGAGCGATGCCTCGGCCAACCTGGGCGGCGTGCCTGGCAAGAGACTAAAGATGCAGTACGCCACGGGGCCGCTGCTCAAGTTCCAGATTTGGTGAGTGTGCGTGCCGGGCCCCGCAGCGCCGCGCCGCGCCGCCTCGGCCGCCGTCAGCTACGCGAGGCCCCGGCTCCGCGGCCTAGCGGGCTGGGCCTCCCCGGGCCCGGAACGGCGGCGCCCAGGCCTTCCGCGGGGTCCGCGCCCGCCCTTCCTTCCTCAGGGCGTAACCGTTCGCTTCGCTCAGTTTTTTTTTTTTTTTTTTTTTTCCTTCCTAGAATGGTGGGAGTGCGGAAGGAGGGCACGGGAAGGTTAAGTAGTGAAAGGCGAAGACGTGGGGACACTTGTCAGTACGTCAGGCCACGGCCCCGCCGGCCGCCCGCGGAGGAGCAGGAGCGTGGGCCTCCGGGGCCTGCGCCCGCCCTCGCTGCCCCCCGCCCCCCCCCCCAGCGCAGGTTACTTCAGGTCGTTGGAGGAGACCCGCGAGTGACAGGCGCCCTCTCTCCGAGCCTCCCGGGGTGACTGTTGAGGGAGGTGGTGGAGGGGGGTTCTGACAGCTCCAGGGCTGCTCCTCCGCGTGCAGTTTCCAGAATGTCTTTGAAACGGAGCCCGGGGGGGGGGGGGGGAAGGAAAAGAAGAGAAAAGGAGCCCGTCGGGTCTCCCGGCGACAGCGCACTCCCAGGCCTCCCCCCCCCCCACCTCCACCCCTCCCGGGGGTCGCCTGTCCTGGCGCGGCTGACGGTCTTCCCGTCTTGCAAATCTCTTGTGCGTTCAGAGAAACAGAAAAACAAAACAAAACAACAAAACACACACACACACGCCCCACCTGAAACCAGAAGACACCCAGCAGTGTTTCGACGTTGCCCTAGAAGCGATTTTTGTTGTTAACCTGGTTAACTGTTAGAACCTGTGCAGTAGTGCCTGTAATGAGGTAGGTGGGGCTGCGGGTGGGGTGGGGTGGGGGTTGGTTAGGATTTGAGAGGCAAAACCAAAATTGTGGAAATTAGCATTCTGGGATCCCCTGGTTGGCTCGGCGGGTTTAGCGTCGCCTTCGGCCCGGGGCGTGACCCTGGGGTCCTGAGATCGAGTCCCGCGTCGGGCTCCCTGCACGGAGCCTGCTTCTCCCTCTGCCTGTGTCTCTGCCTCCCTCTCTCTCTCTCTCTCTCTCTCTGTGTGTGTGTGTGTTTCTTCATGAATAAAGAAATAAAATCTTAAAAAAAATTAGCATCTTGATATCGCAAAAGGCGACTTTTTTTTTTTTTTTTTTTTTTTTTAAACAGGATAGGATGGTCAGGTTAGTGTGTTTTCAGAGCCCTGATACTTTGGGTGGAGTAGTGTGCTAAAGGTTAGATTTTCTACTTAACCCGACTTTTTTTTTTTTTTGCTTATGTTTTAAAGAGTAAGCAAATATTTTAGATTTTAAAAATCAACCGAAACAACCCTTAGAGTCAGAAAGTGGGCTTTATTTTTGCAGTGAAAACTATAAAGACTTTGCAGTTTCTTCCTGATTAAAATAAAAACGACTCCCTGTACTGTCTACTGTGTGGCCAGGATATTAATACTGTAAATGGGGATTATGACTTGACCATTCTGATTTTTTCCGTAATTTTTTTTTAATTAGAAAGTGGCAGTCATTTTTTAAGATTTTATTTATTTATTCATGAGAGACACACACACACAGAGAGAGAGGCAGAGACACAGGCAGAGGGATCCTGGATCCCAGGATCACACCCTGAGCCTAAGGCAGGCCCTAACCGCTGAGCCACCCGGAAGCAGCACAGACATTTTTTCGACCTATAATTATTGTTAAGGATTATGATACTTTGGATATAAGTAGTTAAAAGAAGACTGCATTTTCCAAGTTATGTAATTTTTCTGTTTCCTACTTTTGCACCTCTTGGTTTCACTTGGGCTTTTCCAAAATACTCTTTTACAATTGCTCGTATTTCAGTGGTATAGGAACTGAATTCTTGTCATAATAATTTAACAAATGTACCTTCCACTGAGGATATGCATAACTAAGTTTTCCAGATGTGTAAACATATAGGGAAGGGCATTCAGTTCTTCAATTAAACTTTTTAAAAAGTCTTAAGTACTTCAGTTGAATTTGTGATACATAGTTATTCTTTTTTTTTTTTTTTTTTAAGATTTTATATATTTATTTCATGAAAGACACACAGAGAGAGGCAGAGAGGGAAGCAGGCTCCATGCAGGGTGCCTGACGTGGGACTTGATCCTGGGACTCCAGAATCACACCCTGGGACAAAGGCAGCGCTAAACCGCTGAGCCACCCAGGGATTCCCGATACATAGTTTTTCTTTTCTTTTTTTCCCCTTTAAGTACAAACTTGTCCCAGAAGTCTAATGAGAGTTTTCTTTTGCAGTAACCCAGAGCATATTACATACAAAAGTGCTTCAGTTTTGTTTTGTTTTGTTGTAATCATAGATGGGAGATAGTTTCATTAGTGTGCGCTCCATATATAGGTAAATTTAGCTTGTTTGTTACTTTTTCCCCCAGAGATTAATCTGAATATAGTAAATTGAATATTGGGTTTCTGGCTTTGGTAGAATCTCTCGGACGTTCATTTGCCAGTTTGGGAAAGAAAAGGAAGCTAAAACAATTGAGGATAAATACGTGCAAATTCTTTTAATTCTGTTTGAAATCTAAGTGCTATACAAAGCAGTTTTTCATTAATTACCATTGTAAGCAAGGAGAGAATTATTTTTACCTTTTCAATCACTTTTGTCCTTTATTATTTTATGAGCGCTCTTTTTAACTGTAGCTCAAAATATTATCCATTAATTGTACTACTTTTATATTTGCTACTAATACAACGGCAGCAGCACAACACAAATGGAATTAGAGTGTGCAAAATAGCTTAGAATGAACTTTCCTATTCTATACTGATGTATTTTTTTCAATAAATATTCATTCAGTACCTACTTGTGCCAGGGGCTGAAGATACCATGGTGAACAGTGTAGATATGGTCCCCCATGGAGCTTCCAGAATTGCACGGTATTACTTTATGTTCCTAACTCTTGGTTTATGTCAATTAATGGATATCCTTTCCAAGTTGTGGTTTACCTTTACTTTGTTTATGGTGTTTTTTGAAGCAAAGGATTTTTTTTTTTTTATTGTCTTTTCTGGGGTGCTTGGACGACTCAGTTTGTTGAGCATCTGGCTCTTGATTTCCAATCAGGAGGTGATTTTAGGGTCCTGGGATCCAGCCCCATGTCAGGCTCCACACACAGTGGAGAGTTGTCTTGAGATTTTCCCTCTCCGTCTGCCGCACAGCCCACTCATGCTCATGCGCACTCTCTGATGAATTAAATTTTTAAATAAAATATCTTTTTCAATCTAGCAATGAAATTAGGTGAATTTGATGACGTTGATTTCATGTTTGGGGGAAAAGCTTAATCCTGCTTATTTGGATGTTTAAACATTGAACATAAAGGAAGTTCTCTAGTCAGTTTAAAATAAAGTTACCTTGTAGCATTCTCCCTTTTTGTGGTTTTTATGAATAAATGCGTCTTACGTGTAAATGTATTCTGACAGGTACTATTTGGTATGATGTTTGTATGTGTTTTTTATTTTCCCCACATAGGAGATTTAGCATGTAGTCAAGCCTACAGCATTTAATCAATTGTAGTTTAAAGAGCTTACTGGCTGCAGCTCTTTACAGTTAATACTTACTGGATATTTAACAAATGATACACTAAGTAGATTAAATAAAAATTTCAAAACATAAGCAGAATACAGCAGAATTTTCCAATTTTTGTTAAGAATCCATTGCTGATATTTTAGGACAACCAACTTCTAAAAGTATTTTTAAGAGGCAAATGAAACACCTACTCCAAGAACAAATTTTTATTTAAATTTGTACAAACTCAGCCTTCGCTTTCAAGGTATGGAGGCAAGAAAATAAAGGCCTATGGCTGATTTGGATGGTGATACTGAGATTAGTAAAAGGCTGAATTGGAGAAAATCTGAGAAATTGTGAGTTGTAAAGATAACGTTACTGTAGACATATTTGCATATGCAACACATATTTGAATACCTACTCAGTGCAGGCACTTTGCTTGGTTCTGGGAATTGAATTCAGTTTTCTCAGACATCATAGGCACAAGTGGAAGGCAGTCATTAATTCATAGACAACACATATAAAATTACAATTGTGTTAAGTCCTGTATAGTCAGGGGATTAGGGAGGATTTCTATGAGGAAATCAACTTTGAACTGAGATCTGAAGGATAAGATTTATTGCTAGAGAGCTTTCAAGCTATGGGAATGACACGTTCAGTGGCCTCGTAGTAAAGAGAACATAACTGCTTGGAGAGGCCAAGGCTACTGACCTCAAAGACCAAAGAGAAGGTGGCACAGACCCTGGAAGGTCTGGCAGGCCATATGGAAAGATCAGTTAGCCTCACTGTGGAAAAGACATTAGAGGGGACAAAGAAGAGATTTGGGGAAACCATTTAGGGAGACTATTGGGAGTAAAATGTAAAGGGACAGATCTTTAGGAGATAGATTTTGTGTATTTGGTGACGGGTTATATATTTGGGGGGGAGGAGAGGAGGCATGGAGTTAGAAGTGTCAAACCAGGCTCCTGAGTTCTGGAGTGGTGCTGTTCCATTCAGTAGAATGATAAGGGAGACAAATTTTGTGGATTTTTTTTTTTTCTTTTTGGTGATAGGGAAGGGAGGAATCTTGAATTTTTAGATGATAAAAGGGGAATATCCTACAAAGAGATTTTCATCTCCCCAAAATAGCCATAGTAACTAAAACTAAAATCTTAAATACCAGTTACTGTATTTCACCAAACCTAAGATATGGATAAAAAGATACATCATTATTTTATATATCACTCAGGGGGGAAAAAAATACTGCCATTTATTTATTTATTTATCTATCTATCTATCTATCTATCTATTTATTTATTTATTTATTTATTTAATCTATTTTAAAGATTTTATGTATTTATTCATGGGAGACACAGAGAGAGGCAGGCTCCATACAGGGAGCCCGATGTGGGACACGAACCCAGGAATCTGGGATCACGC